AGCAAACTTCTGTATTGGTAATATAAAAATTTAAAAATTAGTAAGGTGTTAAGTAAGGTTAATTTGTAAGTCTGTTAATTGGTTATTTCCAAATGTGGTTTTTCCCCTGGTCAGCTTGCACTTCAGAGTAGGAGAATAGAATATATTGAGTACTGCTTTGGGTTGTCTGCAAGTTATGTTTCATTAAAAGGAGGAAGATTAATGTTGCTGTTAATACTTTGTGCACAGTTTTAACTACCAATTGCTGGTCATCAGAGCCACACAAATGGCTGGAACCATATTACCTTTAAGATGATAAAGTTAATGTCATAATCCGCACGAGTCAGCACCTGAGCTGAATGGTGAACATACGTATTTTTCTGTTTGTTAAGGACAATTTCAGAAAACATCGAATTAATTTTTGACCTATTATTAAATAGATGCAAATTAATTAAACTTCAAAATTAAAATATGAATATATCTATAGATTAAATGTTGTTTTTTTTCTATATATATATATATGGAATTCAAATATCAAAAGAGTATTCTTCTGGTTGCTATTGCTTCCAGATTTTTACATTTAAAATTTTGTAAAACTGTTACGTTATGAGCTAAGACATTTACAGTGTGTACCTGTTTTAGTTTTTAAAAGTTGATACTATTTTTTTTTCAACCCATAACTTAAACAATTCACTTAATTCACTTGTGGCACAACTGTCTCATCTTCATTGCAAAATATTATTCCGGACATTGAAGCGTAGTTATATTTGATTTCGTATCATTGCTTCCACTCAAAGAGAATTTGTCGAAAAATCAGCAGTATAAATATGGCATAATTAGCCAACCACGGGGAGGATCAGGTGATACCATGAGAAAAACTCCTGAGAGCAGTTCCAAAGTCACGTGAACACTATAATACTCACCTTGGGCGACAAGTAGACTCGATTAAACTCTTACGTTGGTCTACACGTTGCCTCCTGACCTTTTTAAATGTTCATAACCGTAAGAAATGAATGCTGCAGCACGTACCTTAACATATTCCAAAGTTAAACAGATCTGACTGAAAAGAAAAGCTCACTTTTAAGAGATTGTATATTTTACTACACAACAAGGTTATTAGCCAGAAGCTTCTTTGCTTAAAGAAATGGATCGCCGATTTGAAAAAAAAACAAAAAAAACTCAACTAATCTCCGAAACTTTAATCATAATATTATATATTTGAGCCGGAATAATGTCAACTGTGATCCAGCATTTATTCTCACTGTGATAAGGAATATCTTTTAAAGATTATTTAAATCACCTCTTGATTTATTTTGTGTGAACACGTAACAGAATTTATGTTACAATTGAAGCCCTCCCCTAGTGGCACAGCGGCATGTCTGCGGAGTTACAACGCTAGAAACCTGGTTTCGATACCCGTGGTGGGCAGAGCACAGATAGCCCATTGTGTAGCTTTGTGCTTAACTTCAAACGAAATGAATGTTATAACTTAAAAAAGTGCTCACAAAAATATCAAAATAAGATATTTCCATTATTAGAAATTATGTAATATTATTTTGTAGAACTTAACAAGTCTTTAAAATAATATGTATGTTTTTTTTAAACTAAAATTATGTAAAGAGGCTCTACTTTAATTTCAAATTACCTCTGTTATTTTGGGTATCCTATATTTGTGTCCAGCTCTCTTTAATAATAAACAAAGAACTGGATGAAAAAAAAGGCGATGATTATTAAGCTTTGTTATTTTGTGTGTTGTTACCAAAAACGATTTTTCTAAGTAAGTAAATCTGGATCTTCATAAAATGCTTTATGCATATGCACATTAGCGCTTGTAAATGTTTGTCGGTATGGTACGTGTAAACATGCACTGATATGTTGTTTCTGTTATGGTGTTTTCATTCGACAATAAAAGCGTATTCATATTTCATCTGAAGAGAAAACTATTAGAACTTAATCAAATTATTTCCCAAGTCAGTCTCTATGTTTAAGTTAATGATTGAAATATTTACGTTTATATATATATATATATATTCAACTTTTACGTTGGTCTACACGAGCTCTAGTCTTGGGATGTTACCTCCTGGCCTTTATATATGAGTTCATAATCATAACAGATGAATGCTGGAGCACGTATCTTGACATATACATATATATATCATAATAAGACAGATCACGATCATGAGAAAATACTCCATTTGCGACTTGAAATGTACTCCAATAATTTTTCTCACCAAAATTCATCACTGTGTTCCAGATGGCATTATATATATACGATTTGAAATATTTGAAAGATTAAACAAAAGTGGGAAATAAGAATATATATTTTCTAGAATCATAAATTTAGAATAAAGTACTTTGAAAACCATTATAAAACATTTAGCATTACAAACTTACATTTATTTCTTAACTTAGACACTTTAAACTAGTGGTTTATAATTCCTACAAGGTGCTATTTATATGACTTGGTGTTAATCAAGTTTTGCCTGTTGAATAAAATTAAGCTGGCAACATGTCTGAAATTAAGCCATTTTATGTTAAGCAGTTAGCTCCACAATGTATCATTGTGCTCCTATACTGTTCGGAACAAGTTACATCTTGTTATGGTATAGTTTATCGCTTCTCTCTTAGTATCTAAGCCGTTGTGTAAGTTTAGATTAATATAACCCCAGCTTAAGTCCGAATAAAGCAACAAATATCATTCTGCTTACTTGACAAAACAAGTCACTGCATAAGAAACTTTTGTTTTTCCCAATCAGAAAGCATAAATATACATACAGTAGAGAAGAGATTATGTGTATAACAACTTCGTGTCACATATACTTACCATACCCATCTCAGCTTCCTTCCTGTGTTTCAGTCTGCAAGTTAGCGATAAGACAAGACCTCGCACCCTGAGGCCCACACCCTCAAGGCGCCTATACACAAGTCGAGGATACTTAAAATCAACCAACCGCAGAGCTGGTTTTGCACAGCTAATTAGAATATAATTTACCCCTGTCTTATTCTGTATATAGGGTGGACTGTTGCCTGCAGCCATCGACTGTAGGGTCACAAGTGATATCAGGCGCGAATTTTTACGTGTTATAACCAACAGAATAGAGAAATATATAAAAGTCAAAACGGCAGGCTAGCTTTTCATGAGAAACTCAGAAAAGTAACTCCTTGTTCCTGATACTGCTTTTGTATCTTTGTATTTGTTCCTCTTTTAACTGACGTAATAACAATTAATCTATTCGTAGATGGGATCCCACTTTTATTACATTCTTTTTTTTCCGGATTTCATCTTTTCATATGTAACTTTTTTGACAGTAGTTGTAAAGTTCAATTATTGAACTATACCAAGCATTTGAAAAGTTGAACAATACAGAAAAAACTGTCTCACGAAAATAGCTTGGGTCATTTCGAGAAGCGTAACCGGATATTTCAAAGGGTTTGAGAATTAAAACTTCCATGGTCTTTTGAACAAAGTGCCAAAAGGGTAAGTGTTACATTATCTGTTGATTTTATCTATTTAACCTCTTTCGTCCAAAAAATTAGTGTATCTCAGTTATATTCTCTTGATGTTGAATAGTAATTTGAAAGAGTTGTTTCCCCTCAACCCTCCAAAATACTTAGTCAGATACCATTATCTGCAGGACGTCCTGAATAACACTTTAGAATTCCGTCCTGTATAATCTTTCAACTTAGAACTAATGTCATTAAAATCAGAGCACGATAGTGTGTTCTTTATTTTATTCGTAATATTGAAAAAAGGGCAAGTAAGAAATATTTATCCTCGTTCTTTGTGGTTTCATTTTTGCCTTACTGATAAAAGATTTGATTTGTTGGTATTTGATAACCTTTCACGATGCAGCAAACATTTAATTGTACCAGTCTAAATTTATTATTATTTCACTTTCTTATCAATAAATTGCGCGTACTATTTAGAGTTTAAATGAAACTCTTTTGCTTATTATTTTGCCTCAATATAAACTTGAAAGACTAGAATGACCACCTTGTGTTTTTACACGTGATTAATCGTACTTCATTTTAAACTATTTACATATGATAGTACAAGATTGCAAATCGTGGCATTATGGATTACATATTTAGCCCCTGTCAAGCTTGAATTTAACGGCTGAAAGAGATGTCATAAAACTTTCCAAGAAAGATCATGCATGGAAATAGAAAACTCGCACGGCAGAGCGTTGAGGTCACTATGGGCTCCAAAATCTTACCCTAGCCTATCAGGAGCAAGGTTTTCATTTGCAAAGTGAAGGCTGTGATTACGAAAGAAAACTATCCGACCCCAAAACCATTAAGATTAAACTGGGCAAAGCTCCTGGTTCTGTAGCAAGATGATAAGCAAGACCATGAAATTGAAAAAAAGTTGAGAAGCTTCCAGCCATACCTCGAAATCAACAACTATTTTCTTGAGAAAGGTAGTTGAAAAGCTCGAATCACAGCAAAATATTTTGATCACGTACTTGTTACGCCCCCAATTTAGATTCGATGAAGTTTTATCTCTTTGGTCAACTTTATTGTTTGTCATGGAAGCTGATGCCCAGGTACAGTGGAGGGTTTGTGGAAGGTTTGTCAAAACTGGGGTCTAGGGTTGACCTACCGTCTCTTGCAGAAACTTGTTACAATGGAAATTGCGGTGTTTGTCAATAGCGTGTAATCACGACCATTACACTAAGCGTTCAACGATAGGGGAAATAGTTACCATTAACTTTTAGTAGACATTATAGTTTCATGCTCAACTCTGTATAACAAAATAACTCGGAAAGAAAGTTTTACTGTTGTGCAGTTTAACGGATATCAGCAACAATTTCATTGTTACTCATTAAATTGTTGTTTCAAACCTCATCCATCTGAAAATTAAGAGAAAATGTACATCCGTATCCAAGTCAGTAATAAATTTTAACACAAAAAGTAAACGTCTTCGAGTCTTCCTTTATCACACAAATATAAAACTGAAACAAAAAGAACAAAACTGAAAGTTTACTGCTCGTTCGATTGTAAACTTGCCTGCTACTTACCAAACACGTACTCTACTGAAAAACGAAATCACGTCAGTGTTCACTTCCTAAACTCCATAACGTTGCCATTGCATCAGTTGTTAGTCGGATGCACATAACACCTGTATAGACAGGAAAGAAGGCGACTTCCTCTGCTCTGTTACACCTCAAGACTCTTACGAAACTTCCTTTGGCGTCTGAAAATAGAGAAACCTTGAAAAAACTTCAAAATATTTGAAATATAATTTAGCTGTTGTTGTAAATATTAGAAGTATTTAGTATACTAAATAATTATTTCATAATAAAATCTGTTTATTAATCTGTATATTGTCTATATAATGTTATGCGAATTTACCAAAGTATCAATGTAAAAACTATTAAAAATATGTAAAATTGTAAGATGACACAAAATACAATTATCATCAAGGTTTCAAAGTCTTGTAAAATACCTTGAATATTGCACACCTGTATTTATACAAAAACACCAAGCAAGAAATGTAAAAATAAAACACGAGAAAATCAAGGGAATTTGTGTCTTTATTCTATATATGTATATATATACGAAGAACTATGTTTACATAAACGTAAAAAGCTACAAACGCAATACATATTTATAAGTTACGATTAAATTTCACAGTTTGTGCTTGCTGAATATATTTTGATCCATTTTTAATTACAACCAGAAATTAATTATATCAGTTTCGGGCGTTATAGTGAGTTGAATGTATCTTTACTTTGGAAAGCAAAACTGGTTTTGATGATGTTTTTTGTTTGGTTTTACAAGGATTAATATAAGTTAACGTTTCCCACATAACAATAATCATTTATCATATTTAATGCTAGCGTACCAAGATAAAAACTTTAGTATAAGTAACAATATTTAATAATACTTACATTCTTCAGTGAAAACACATTGTTGGTGTGAATATTTCTATTATTCCTGCTTAGAAAAAAAGGATCGACTTGTCACTTGCTTAGCCCAGCTTAATGGATAATAACCTACAATTATCAAATATACTTCATATGTTAATATCATGCTGATGACTTATGTATAACGTGTTTGTATTTTAATATTTCGTCTGTTGAGATTTATCCCGTTGAAGTGAATGAAGAATAGTGGTCTTGGCTAGGTTTAACGATACTTGCGTGAACACATGGTCTCAACCGGATATTGTCAGCCAGTTCAAAATTACCGGACATTAAGCTGTTTTCAGGTGACGTGCCATTTACTAGCGTGAAGACAGTGACGCGCTAGTTATTTCCACGGGACTGGGCGCGCGGACTTGTTTTTTTGGTAGCAGTCGTCTGAGGCGGTGAATTTCATATTTGTATTTTAACGCCAATATTACAAACGAACGTAAAGATGGGAAACGAGCAAAGTGTTTTTATTCAGTTTGTCTCTTGATAAAAAGAATAACTAGCCATTAACTAAAACACCATCTTTAATGACAACTAAAGTAACCGACAGTTTACATGCGATTGCTAATCTATTAAAGACACAGTCGGCGTGGTGACCCGATATAAAAGTTTTTTTCGGGTCATTTAGTATTAGCTGTATGTGCATCGGATGTTAGTGTCTGAGAGGCACTAACATCTGTCGATTTGCTAGAGGTTCGTGTAAGTTTAGTCTGACCCTTTATTTGTGATACGACTCCCGATAACGACTATGAACTTTCTCAATGATTAAAACATTTAGCTTGACTTTGAGAATTTTCATACTTATTATAAAAGTACAGTGGTCGAAGCTTGGTTTGTAGCAGTATATCACAAGATGCTATGAATAATGGATAGTTTAGTGAATACCACATTATCGATTTCAAATCCTGAAAATCCCACTGATGTCTGTGATCACAGTAGATGGCCAGTCTATCATGCATCCTCCTGTCGTTAGTACAGTTAAACGGAACCGAGGTAAGTAACAGAATTATGATATTCAAATGTTATTAATACCATACGTTATACTCTACAATCTTGCATTAAAGTTTTGTAAAAGTTGCAAAAACGAATTAATTCATAATAGTTCTGGAACGCTGAAATTAGTCAGTAAGAACCTTTAAGACTTGTAATTTTGAATTTCACGGAATAATAGCGTTACTAATACTTTCAAACTTTTATTTTTGAGCAAACCACATCGTATGGTAAAATTTTTACGAAAAAGTGGTTCAAATGTTATCTACTTTTTATTTTGAATTAAGCACAAAGCTACACTCTGCCCACCAGGGGTATCGAAACCCGGTTTCTTGCGTTGTAAGTCCGCAGATATACCGCTGTGCCACTGGAGGGGGGGGGGGGTATTTTATCTAAGTGAAGTGAACACACCACAAATTATTGTAGAACAACATGTTTTAATGTGTTGTACAAAGTAAGTTTTTGTTTTATACATTTTTAATCATTTTAATAAATACTTTCTTAGTATGCTAAAAAATCAAATATACATTTAAAGCTTAGTTTTAATTTCTATTTTCAAACGTCGCATAGAGATGTGTACTTTCCTTATGTGGAGTGATTTGAATGTCATTAACGTAGTTTTCAAATGATTGTACTTACATTCTAGAGGGTTGCTGACAAGGTGGCTGGTCATCAAACATCTGGTAACCACACGAGCACAAGTTTAGCCGCTGGGGCGACCGACACATAAAATTCCATGTGGCAAGCGTACATAGTTATTTCTCGCTGTTCAACATTGCTTGCACGTGGGGTGCATGAAGACTTCTCTAAAAACGAAATATCAGTATGTTCAGCATGTGGTACTGCATCTCAACAGACCACAGCGCGTTTTCCGTATGTTAGTTTTTGCCATAAAATAACTTTCAAATTATTTAACAGGACGTTAGAGAAACCTGGAAACAAATTTTACTTTGGCTCTCGTTTCTTTTTCTATAACAAAGTAGCAAAAACACGAAAAATCAAAATTATCGTCATGCTTCAGGTCCCCCAACGGTAACTTTTTTTGACAATAATGATAATTGAACAAGCATTAATTGGATGAAATAATATTTAGTTTCCAAGAGCACACAGGTCAGAGGACGTGATCCAGTGATTAATGTTCTGGATTATTAAACCAAGAGACCATGGTTCACGTCCATTAGCTTGATATCATGCTCCACACTTTGGGATCATGAATGTGTTATAATAGTGACTGCCCACTATGTAGCTAGAGTGGATGCTTTTGACCAAGTGGGTGCTGTTGGCTAGTTTGTCTATCAATTGAAAATTAGGGACAACTAGCGTACATATCTCGCGTGTAGCTAGCTATCAACAAATATCGAAAACAAACAAAGAAGCACACAGGTCGGGCAACTTCATCATGTGCAGGTAGGTATTCCTAAATAGTTAAATTACGAATCCACTTCATCATGTACTGGTAGGTATTCCTAGAGAGTTCAACCACAAATTCATTTCTTCATGTACAAATAGAGAGTTCAACCACAAGATAATTAAGAATCAGCTCTGATCTAACTTTTGGATGGCTCGAAAGAAATACTCTATCAAACTGATTAATGAATTTAGATTGGAAAACGAACACTTAGAGTCTTAGATAATGAAAGAGTCACTTTAATCTGTAAACATATTGACATTGTCGTATATATATATATATATAGAGAGAGAGAGAGAGAGAGAGACATTAGTTTTATCTGACATCACCCCATTGGTTGGTTATAATGACTTCTTAGTATCAGTCTTCTGGTACAAATGGAAATTAATATCAGGAACGAATGAACAAAGCCCGCGGGTACTAGGGGTGCTGCCGCTCCGTCAGCACCCCCTGGCTTGACGTACCTCCTATCATATACAGGAGTTTCGATTATTTCAGTGATTTTCAGCACCCTCTTTTGAGAAATTGTTCCAGCATTATTTATTTATTTATTTATTGCTTAACGGGTTAAAATAATACTGGTAAAAAATGCATAGTGATATTTTTATCTTATGCTATTATATTCTTACATTTATACCGTTACTTTAAATATTCCTGTATGAAGTCTTGCCAGTCAAATCAAGCTTAGTATTGTCCAGTCTTCAGTCATGTTTTCTTCCTTGCAGAAGGCCGTGTTACTGATACATATATATAATTTTCGTTGTCGTTTTCACCAAGAAATGATGTCATGAAGCAATCGCGTCAAAGGACAAGGAAATGACTGTTTCCGAATGAGATCTTAGCAGTTGGTTGAATTTAATCTACTTAACACATCAATGTGACAGAGTACTTCTAAAAGGATCTAAGATATATAACGACTTGTTTTAATCGTGTCATGGTTGCATGTTGCTAAATCTGAGTATCGTTGCTCCAAAATGGTATAAGATATAGCGTGATGCCTGCCTTTATAATTATTATAGCATTTCACTATCAGAAAAGATCAGACGTTTAAATGATATAGCAAATAGTTTGGCTATAATTTAAGGACTAAGGTCATTCTAGTAATGCTGAAGTGCAACGTTTCAATTGTTTGATACATCAGTAAAAAAAAATAGTGTTACATTATTATCCGTTGTAAACTTACACAGTAATGCTGAAAATTACACCTTTGTACCGTTGCTGTTGGCCAGAATTCATCACTGAGCTGCCTTTGCCCAAGCCTATTGTATCACAGTAATCAATGTATGGCGAGTGTGTAGTTAGGAAGATGCATACACACATATTTAGTGTTAACCCACTCGAAGCGGATTATTGTTTTCGTTGTGGTGTCTTGCAAATGAATAACTAAGTCATGAGTGAATCTTTTGGTTTACGATAATGTTCAATATCCAGATGCTCATATGTTTACAACCATAAATGACTCATTTTGATAGAAAATGGTACCACACTTAAAAAAATAATAATCGCATTCAATACAATTTTATAGTGGTGACTTCTGTTTAAAAAGATATGTAAAACAAGCCCCTTTACGTCACAGTAACAAAATAATTACTAACAAAATTGGATTATGTTTTTGATGACAGGTTTTTTGTTGTGACACTGTTTTCGGATATCATTTATGTTGTTATAGTTTTCACTGTGCTGAAAGCTTTCAAAACTTCCTCATAGATCGCACAGATGTAAATGTGTTCCGCAAAACGCATGAATTGTGAAACCAAATTACCGAACTGAGAAAGCAGTTGTATAATTATTGCATATTGCTTCGTTTCTTTAACTATTTTTATAATTTGTAATAAACAGAACCCGCAAAAAAAAACAAGTGTTATTTGTGAAACAAGAAAA